TAGAAATCCAACAGAGGAAAACGTCTTATCGTCACCGAGGGGTTCGACGATCCTGATGACCGAATCTGCTTCCGAGATCTTTTTCTTTGGCCATCGATATATGTCACGAGTGGATCGATCAGTTTGATTCGCGATAAAAACGATAGGAAATGCAAGAAGGTAAAAAAATACTCGACACGAGTTGACGGTAGGGTAAAAAGGGACTTAAAGAAAAGGAGATATTTCACGAAATGGATGAGAAAATAGCATGTTCGAGAGTAGGAAGGAAACGCGAGGTTATTTCGCGGTAGCTGCGAGCAACGACACCAGTCTAATGTCAAGAGTGCACACACGTTGCACACACGTTGCTCACACATGGGTGACATTAATCATCGTGCATTTATCTCGCGTTTCTATGTTCCGTGGCAACTACTCTCGCGACTACATTATCGTTCGCGTGATACAGTGACTGCGGGTACCATACTTTTTCGATTACGTGCCTGATAAAACTGGCAGAGATCCGTAATTCGAGACAGTGAATCTGAAAGCACAGCAATCTTTCCTTTCTGTTAACGAAATCATTCCGAATGAACTCTGATTTTTTAAGGTCGAATACGCGAAACGTTTAAACACCGAAATTCTGAAAGTTTGTGAAAGGAGATAATTTAAGAGAGAATCTAGCTAAATCGGCATTTTCTATGGAGACGTCTACCATACTCGCCGATATACCTCTCGAATTGCTCACTGTTCGTAGCCTATTATATAGGGTGGTCTACCAAAAACAACGCGCTTAATCGCCTCCTTTGTCGTTAGAGACAAGACGAGACAAGATGAGACGAGAAAGAAGGCCCCGAGGCAAACGCTAAACGCTTTCTTACGAGCTCGAGGATAATTACTGGTAAAGGTAATTTTTCTTCCAAGAAACAGAGATAATCGGTGTTTTTTCAAGCGAAACCATATATCTTCTTCTATATAGGATGATAAATTTCTACGAATGTTATTTGCCGTTTTATCCTATTCCTTTGTCCGAAATTCTTAACTTGATAATAATTTAACAATTGGTTTATACCCAGAAAGATCTGAATCAAAAGTTATTATCGATAACGATATGGGCACCTCGATGACCCTTTAATCGAACACGAAATACAAGTAGAAAGAAAAAATCGAGAATACGAAGGGCGATTCTCGCTTTCGCGTATCGAAGAAAGGTCTTTCGGAGAAAGTAAGGCGACGTGCATGGATTTAACGCTTCCTGACTGGCCATCTCTGAATCAGCCGTCTCCCTTCTAATATTTTTAGACTTTCTTCCCGCTTCCTTCGACACACGATGTAATAAACACCAGTCGGTCGAGATAGTACCAACAAGACAGATAAGAAAAGTAACTCGAGAACCAAGACTGTTCGTTTTTCCATAATCTCGGATAACTAACGCGTAGTCCGTTCATCTTCGAAATCTAATAGCAAACGATTATAACTAATCGATACCGACTCCTAGTCGGTCGAAAGAAGGTTAAAGGCTACGAAATTGTTCTACGCGTTTCCTTTCAAACGATAATTATTTGATTTCTGCTCGAAATAAAGAATGACTAACCGTGAGGGAAAAAGTGGCGATGCTCGGGTTAAGGAAGTTGGCCGATACACGAGGTACATTCGCAACCTTGATAGGGCATTGCCCCAGCATCTCGCGAAGACAGACGAGAACACTCTGTTATACGTGGCCACTGTATCTCAGGGAGTGACGAAGATTTCGCTCGCGCTGACAAAATACCGATATAGGACATAAATGTAACGAGTCGACAACGAATAACGACATCGTCGTCGAAAAGCTGCTAAAAATCGTTGCGAAATAGAGCGACGGGAGAAGAAATTATTGTCGAGCGGTGATCTCAACAGTTGCATAAGAGATGTCCTGTTAGCGAGAATAGGCCGACGAAAATCGATGGGATCGTAGGAGAGGAATAAAAGTCGATGGGAGGATTCGTTTTCAGCCAATGACTCGTTTCAATGTCGGGACTCGAGACGACAGATCTTCGACTCTCGCATACCGATCGAGGACAAATCGTGACGCGAATCGAAGCCCGTTTCTTTAATGACATTTCGCTGGCCAGAGAACCGAGGTTGGGTTTCACGCTTTCACGATACACGAAGAGGCATCTTCGATCGATCCAAGGAAGCGACGCCGCTTCCTGGCGATCGCGATCGCGCGAAACTCGCAAAAAGATCGCCATTAGCATTCGCCACTTCCGCGCTTTCATCGAACCGTTCCAAAGACATTTCCTTTTCTCCTAGAAATGTAGCCAACAACCGCGCGCAAAACAAGCGGAACTTCTAAGAGAGCGTCACGAACGACCACCCGATCTCGTCGGTTCGTTACGAAAATCGTATTCGAGCTATCACGTTTTTCATTTGACGCGTGAAAATTGATTGTTCGTCGTTATCGTCGTATTCTAAGTTAAACGAGATGGGTTTACCAAACTTGTTTATCGCGAAATCGACAAAAGGGAACGAGGCATCACCTCGTTCTCTTTGCATTATTACCTCGCGCACGTTGGTCAACGATTCTGTCGCGGCCGTCGCGCCGCGTCGGTTATCACGAATCCTTGTAAATTATTCCGTGTGTGTACGCGAAGACGGATGTCCTTTGACTTATGGATATTGATGAGGGACGTTCCAACAGCGTGAGGCATCTCGTTGACGTTTCACGTATGTCGTCTGCATAAAATGTCATCGTCGCGATGCAACCGCCCGGTAAATTATACCTCTGAATTATGAGCCGACTCGTTGTCCGAATATCAATCGCTTTAATCCTTTTCCTTCTTTCTTTCTCTTCGTTCTTCGATCGCCCATGATTCCTCGCGAACCATCTCGTTTCACGCTAAATTAAAACTACTACTATCTCCATTGCAAAACTATTATTGCCATTTCCATTGTCACTGCCATTGTCAATGCTATTACTATTGTTATTCTTATGACTGCGTTACAACTGTAGGTTGAATTAATGCGATTTCCAAAGAATCGAAGTAAACTAATGGAAATTGGAGCGCGCTGTTACCGATACGAGTTGTCGATTCTGCTTCGAGTTAACTCGAGAAAGCTTGAATAAAAGGTATTCGAACTAATGCCACTGAAAATAGACTATTCATAATCTGCACAGTCTATTAACGCGTGTAATTCAATTTGACCAGGTTGTACAATCGCTATTTACACTTAAGTGTAAAGAGAAAGCTATAAAATCTCTCTTAACGGACTTGCACGACGGTTCAAAAAATTGCATCACACATTATTACCTCATATACGACCTCCTTCTATAGAAATATTTTGTTATTTTCGCGTGGTAACCTTGAATTACAAGAGCAAAAGAAACAGAAAATAGCGATTGTTCTTTTTGTACGAGCTAGGAATCTTCGAGACTTACAAAATACTGCTTTTTCTTTCCTAATTGAAAACAAGTACACCGTTGACAGAAAACAGAAGAAACCGTGAAATGTCGACACGCATAGTTCGCGTAACTGAAAATTCTACAGAGAAGCTAGTCGCTCATTTAATTCAAATTAATGAGACCCCTGATTGGAACGAGAGAATTCTCGTGAGGCGTCTAATAAACATTCCGTCACGTTCGCGAATACACGTTTTCATAGTATTATGAAAATCCTTGGAAATCGCTTGACTTTCGTAATCGTGTTTAAGATAAAAATTAGTTTTAGTACTCCTCGTTCGATTGAATTCTTTATCGAAAGAAACTCATTTGTTCGCGTAAAACGGGAGACTTTAAATGCTTCATCTTTTAGTTCTCGTTTTAATCGTTTCAATCGTTTCAAATGTTTCAAATGGTATTTTAATGGACGCGATTGCCTCCTTTTCCAGATGTAACTTCGAAATAACGGGGAATCAAAATAAGACATTAGAAAACGAATGTAATAAAGTAGGTAGATATTAGGTAGCGTTCCTTTTACTACTTAATGTATCGTAGATAAATTTATCGCGAAACATCCTGTATGGAGCTAAGAAAGATCGAAGGAGCAACGAAAGATCGATCGATGGCGAAATTGAAGCCCCATCGGGAGCTAGACGACACCAGCTCCGCCTTAATTCAGCCTCGGAAAGCTGCAATTTTCATTGTTGACGCCGTTCATTATTTCTCGATATTGCAACAGACTCGTGGCCGTACGACATTGCACAATTTTAACGCGAAGAATCTCCTGTCTACTCTTTCTATCGATGCTAATCGTTTGCACGACTTCATTTGGTAATCGAATAATAGTTGAATCCTCACTCACCCCATTACTGCTTTGATCCACCACCGCTCCACCGAAACTCTTCGAAATGCTTCGTTCTTCTCTCATCGAATTCTGTTCTTTACCATCGATCTTGCATACCTGTCATTTTTACATTTATTTTAACTATCGTTACGATTTAGACCGATAATTAAATTTCCGATCTGTCCAAAATATCGTTTTCGCTTATCGATTCGACTTGTGCTCGCTTCGATTAAAAATTCTTACTTTCATTCATATGTTTATTCGATTCGTATCGTACATTAACAAAGTAATTAGGTTATAAACCCTTAAAATGATGTCTCGATGTATAGTTCGAAGAAACAAGTTAGAAAAGTTAGAAAATTTTAATGCAACGCGACTAATATTACCTGAAAACACCGCAGATCACTCAGAAATACGTCAGATTGGCGGGTTTGAAACTTTTTTATGACGTCATGAACGTCTTGATAAAAATTCACTATGAACTGCACTGCACCATAGACGAAGCAAAAAATACACAGATTTGTCATCTTATGAGATTTTGTGTCACGTATAGTGAATTACCGATCGTGCAAACTACTCCACTTATGCCCTCTACGATTCAGAGCGGCGAATTTAATAATTACAATATACGCATGACAATCCATGCGCGTTTAATACACGATTCTTCACAATTCATGTTACTGACCGTCGATTCTCGAGTCTTCGTTATAAGCTTCAAAAATAGTTACGGGTGTCGCTGTTGACCATTAAACTACCGAGCCTGAAAAAGCATTGCTTACAGACAATATTCACTACGAATTTTACTATGAGACAACGATAAGTGGAGGATCGACGATATAAATATATTTTATTTTACCTGCACTTCCAAATATTTTTGTCATATCGATTTGAGAACTTTTTAAAATTGAACATTCTAGGGAAATACGCGTTTCATATTTCGTATTACAATTTTTAATAGCATTAAACATAATATACCGAATGTGACAGACAACGTAACGATATTTAAGGTTAAGTGACATATTATCTTTTTTTGTATCGTGGTCTTTCTTTTTTTTATCGGTTGATCATTCAGAAAAATGCCAGCACCAAACTCGATCAGCGTAGCCGTGATATGTTCTAGCAATATGAATAGAAGCATGGAAGCTCATGCCTTTTTGAGGTAATTTTCTCGTGTCTAACCATTGTAGTATTCTCAACAAGGATATAACGTGAAATGAAATTATTTCTTTTTTATTTCAGTAAAAAGGGTTTCAACGTTAAATCCTTTGGCACGGGTGATAAAGTAAAACTTCCTGGAAATGCTCCTGATCGCCCAAATATATACGACTTTGGAACGACATACGATGAAATATACAATGATCTTTTATCGAAGGACAAACAATAGTATCCTAACAAATAAATTTTCTTTTCAGGCTGTGATTATAAGATGCTATTAATTTCTAATCGAATAATCATTCTTTATTACAATTTAAAATAATAAAAATACTGTTAAAAAAAATATGTTTGTTATTGTAGTACAGTATAATAATAGGATAATTGCAATCAAATTCCTTAGCTATAATACTAGCTATACCCAAAATGGTTTATTGCATATGTTGGACAGGAACCGTAGGATAAAACCTAAACCAGAACGATTTCAGTTGTCTAAGGACAAGTTTGATATTCTAATTACTTGCGAAGAACGTGTTTATGATCAAGTAATTGAATGCATGGAATCCAGAACTCCGGAGGATAATCAACCTGTGCATTTGATTAATATCGATATTCAAGATAATCATGAAGAAGCTACCGTTGGATCTTTTCTGATATGTGAATTGGTCACTGTGGTACCTTTAAATTTATCTGAATCTATATTTTTATTGATATACTCATATGGTTCAATAACATTCTTATTAATTGGTACACAATGTGTCTGTTGCAGCTAGCCAATAGCGAGGATTTAGATAACGACATAGACGAATTGCTTCACGAATTTGAATCGAAATTTGCGAGAACTATTTTACACACCGTGCTGTTTTATTAAGGGGGCTGTCATGTATGAAGAACCTGGTGTTCAGCAACAACGTAACTTATAAAAAAAAAACTAAATTATACGCTATTAATATACTACCACATTCTCTGAGTCAGATTATGTGGAAGGAATTTCAGTAGCGACAAATAGGAATTCAATCCGTGCTTCCTGTTTAACGAATCATTACTTTCCATAGAATATGTTTCAGAGATCTGCTGTTATATTCTCTCTACAATTATCTACGATCCGTGGCAAGATACGAAAGCAGCGTCGTTACGCTCGTTCGGTCATTCCGATCATTACGAGCGAAATTAGAAAAAAAAATAAATATGATGGACATAAATGATGAAAGATTTTAATTTTATAATATATACACATATAAGTACAGATTATTCTTATATGTGTATGTATTTTATTGTTAGAATGTATTTGTCGTACATAGAATTAATATGAATCTCTGAAACAATTTTCAATTCAGAGATTTGTACATTACAAAATATGATTCGCTGTTATATAGCGAAAAGGCCTTCGATTCACACAATTTAAGTGACGCATAATCCTAATCATCGTAAATCAATGCCGGTCAAGATGAGCATACAATCTTCTTGTTTTTTCATGTTTCTTTTTATTTGCGTGTTTATTAAACTTTTTCCAAGGTTTTTCTTCAAGCGACAAACTTCGTGTGGAATCAATCATGGATACCGTATCCCTGGAAAATTACAATAATTACAAAATATCGAAAAAAATCATGTAAATGCTCCTAATACTTATTATTATATATTATTATCAATAATTATACAAGGATGACTTTATGAAATAATAAATATACAATAATGTTACTTGCTTGGAATCGTAACGACATAAACCGTGCATCTTTCCGATTACTCCCTTTACGTGTGCAGTCGAGGTATTTCTTTGAAAAAATATCTTATCCACATCTTCGGAACTGATCTTACTCCTCTTGTTTGCATATATTGTTCTAAGCGGTACATGAGTATTGGTAGAACGAATCCTTCTTCGTGGAGGGAATGTATGGAAAGTTTCTTGCTCTACCGTTGGTGGTGCAACGCAATATAATAGTTTACCGTTGACGAAATCTTTTAACAAATATCGAGCAGAACGTGGATTATCTGGTTGTCCATTTTGTGTCATGAAACCCCTATTATCTATAACGACAAAGTAAACAGTTAGTATATACGTATATACACTTATATAGTACACATCCAGAAACACATAAACAAGAATACATACATCCATAAGCATTTAAAATTTCTTCTGCAGTTGGGGGACGATCAGAATCTTCCCCTTCTAATGGCAGAGGTATCATAATACCATAAAGATCTTCTATAACATGTCTTGGTATTAAAGTACCTAATAATGTGATTGGTGGTACATGATCTTTCATTTGATCAATGGGTAATATGCCATTTAAAATCATTTCTGCTTTTGTGCAAATAAAACTGGGCATTACTAATCCAGGACAGTCACAAAGAAGTAGATCCTTATCTAAAAAGAGTGTCTGAAAATGCTTTGTTTTCCCTGGTGTTGCTGACACAGATACTTTCTTGTCCATTAATAGAGCATTAATTGTGGAACTTTTACCGACATTTGGGTATCCTACCAAACCGATTGTAGTAATGCCTTTTGTATATGTTTCACCCTTATAAATTCTTTTAAAAAATGATACTAATTGATCTCTACCTAATAATTCTGAGGAATTTTCGATTTTTGTATCGCCTTCTTTTATAGTTTCTTCATCTACTTTGTCTTCTACATCTTCTAACGCATGTAAATTGCATTTATTGTCTTTGGAACAAGAGTGCTTTTCAGTTTCTAATTCAGAAGTTTCATTTGTCTGCTCTGTGCTGGTACTATTAATACCATCGTCTGCACTTTCATATTCGCTTTCCGATGCAAATTCTGAATTATATAAAGATTCATTACTGTCATCATTTTCATTCCTTTCATCATTATCATCGCTTTCACTTTCTACTTTGTCATCTTGTTCATCTTCAGAACTTTCTTCTTCTATTATGTCTTTAGTTTTTTGTCCTTCAGATGCCAATGTGGCAGAAAAGAACGCAACTTTTATACCAATATCTGAAAAATATTTTGCCCATGCTTGTCTTTGTTCCTCTGTTAAGAAATCTGCTTTATTGATAAGTATCATGTTCATTTTCTTAGGATCTACTTCCTTGACATATGCTTCTAAATCCTCGCAACGGAAGAGCAAAGGATTCCTTCCATCGACAATTTGCACAATAACATCACTGCGTTCTACTACTCTCCACAACTGTCTCCAAAATTCCAAATTCTTTTCGTACGGTGTTAACATCAACCCATCTACTTCTTGTAACATAGAAAGAGACCGTCTCCATGCCAAGAATTCTTCTCTTTCTTTACTTTGCAATTCACTGGCTGTAGTGGAATTATCCCATTTTGGTCTTCTGGGTATTTTTAAGAACTCTTTATTTTTTCTTTGCGATTCCAATATCTGTTCTTTCTCATCCTTTGAAGGTAATCCTACTCCGCTCCTTGGATTAACAAATTTAATGTTTAATTTCTCTGCATAAAACTCAGTCCCTGCTAATTCGGCGGTTGAAAGGAACTCTTGAAAAGAATCTTCTTCCGTAACAGACTGGAGATTAAGACGTCCCCAGTCGTATCCATCGTTTATTTCGGCCGTATGAAGCTATTTTATATCATAATTTAAAAATGACAAAAATTATTTAACGTATTTCTTACACGTGCATTAGATTGACAGGTTATAAATCAAAGGCATTACCTTACCATAGATGAACCAGCATTTTTTCTATTTTTTGAAGAACCGAAACGATCTCTGATCAAAGCTTTTCCTAAATTGCCACTTCCTGCTTTTCCTTTTTTACCCATTATGCTAAATCTTCTATTGCGAATAAGGTCAACCTATAATAACAAAACACAGCCATCAAATGTCGGAAGTAACGCAACCTCCGCAAAAATGTAACGTCAAAAAATTGGTACAGTAACCAAATCGCAATCGTAACCAGCATATATATAAAAAAAAAATGATAGAAAGTTTATAAAGATTTTATATGCGATAAAGTGTACAGAATAGAAAACTTTTGAATTACATTACATCTATAGTATCTGCAAATAAATTTTGGGATAAAAATTCAATGAAATAGTTCTGCGTCTTATTTTTATTAATAATTGATAGGTAAACTGTTGCGGTTCACAGTTTCTTGACGACCAGCAACAATTACGAAACGTTCGACATGCTCCACATGCTTTTCTACCCTATTCTCGCGCGCTCATCAATTCTCAAAATTGGAACAAGAAAATTCTTTTCGCAAGGCAGCTTGTGAACAGTTTTTTTTTGTTTTCATTCTTCATCATCGTTTTTTTGGAATAATATCGGAGTATCGGTTATACGTATATTTATATATTACAATTCTGCAGCTTTGTTCATCGCACTCATACATTCTGTGCGCAAGTATTGCGAGACACGATGTCGTACTTGCCTCGACTAACAATTCTCACAGTTTTTTGAAATCTAGCCATCTAATACGGATAATCAGTCGCTTCTCTGGTAAAGGACAGTTTTTTCCAACCGAAGGTTCCTTCCAAAAGAAAATATACTTTCATTCAAGTACACTATACTAACACCCCATTTCAAATTCCTGTAACGAGGAGTATAAAATGGCTTGCAACATTTCTGACACAAGTACTTATTAGAGAAATGCGGATAATCGAATTTGCCTGGGTGTCCTATCGACGTAACTCGAATTTTTGTCTGGAATGGATCAGGTCAATCAGATTCAATAACAGCGTCAACGCCCAATACCGGATGTGAGATCAAGTGGCTTTTGGAAATGTGGGAACTTTGAAATTTGAGAATCTGGGCTTTCGAAACTTTATAGCTCTCGCATATTTCGCGTCTCTTATGTCATGCGGAGAGAGCTAATCCGTATTCGTGCGAGTAGGAGAGCAGACCCACCCCTGTTTCAATCTAGTTACATCAATGTGGGTAATTCGAGCTGTAGGGTCGATTCAGCAAATTCGAGTAACCGTACATCCCTAATCCTCACTTTTTACACTGCAATGCATTTACAGAGTATCCACCGTTCTACGTATATGTATATGTATAATTCTTTATAGTTAACTGTACAATCTACACGGAACAACGTCACTTCGTGCGAACGACGAACGGCAATCTATCATCGTATATATACGTGATACGGACATTTCAACGATCACTTCAATAATTATCTCTTCCTCTGATGCCTCGTGGCGGATCACCGTCGCGTCCTCTACCGCGGTTGTTGTATCCACTCCTTCCCATATTATTGTCACTGGGACCTCGGTTCATTCCACGGTTAGGTCCGAGTTTATTTCCGAAATTACCGAAATTCGCATTAAAATTACTTGGCGGGTTCTGACCGGGATTCTGACCACGAAAACCGGGACCAAAACCTGGTCGATCAAAATTTGGTGGACCAGAATTGGGTCCTCGAAAATTTGGTAAACCTTGAAAACTATTACCGAACGGTCCTTGGTTTGGTCCGAACGGAGGTAACGGGCTCGGTCTGAAATGTTGATTCGGACCAAAATTACCGTTAGGAGGTCTGAAATTAGGACCGAAATTTCCAGGCGGTGGCCCACCAGGTCCAAAACCAGGATGCATACCGGGATGATGCATCATGTGCATAGGACCATCGATTCCTTGCATACCAGGATGCAATGGTTTATTCTGCATAGGGTGCTGAGACATGTTCGGATGTGGCACTAAACTTGGAATGGGAGGAGGCATGTTAGGATTGATATTTTGCATGTTGTGATGACTTGACATGTGAGATATACTGTTGCTTAAGTGAGGCATGTTATTGCTCATACCAGAGCCTAAACCTATCGGAATACTATCGCGTTTGTCGAAGTTGCCTGAAAAACCACCATCCCCTTTTCGCGGACCATCGTTCATCGATTTCTCGTCGTCCCATCGCGAACTACCATCTCGGTCTCTGTCATCGTAAATATCGTTGTCTAAAGGTTTTTTCAAAGGGAACCCGTGTGAACTCCTGAAGTCCTTATCGGCGTAATTACTCCTCACGTCATAATCGGAACGTGAACTAGGCCTACCAGGTCCGCTAGATATATTAAATCGCAAGTCCTCGTCGCGATTCATATTTCTCGCACTTTCAACATGCGAAACTTTCCTGAGATCTTCGTCTTGTCCAGTATGAAAAGAGCTGTTCTCGTTCGAATGTTGATTCGATTTTGTTCCAGTATACCTCAAATCGGTGTCACTGGATTGTGAATCCTCCGTTATTATTCCGCCAAATACGGGCTGATGTATCTTCGACGTTCGATCGCTAGCGCCACCGTCGCTCCAGCCGATCAGTTGATCAAATTTACGCTTTCCACCGCGATTCAGGGCTTTGAGCAACTCAGGATTCTGGGCGAACTTGGAACTGGGTAAAGGAGGAGGAAGTTCGATATCGGGAACTTTGGAATAATCTATTTCGCCATCGTCTTGCAAATAATCTTCGGATTCGTCCATGTTGTCCGGTGGACCTACCACGTCGCGCAACTCTTCTATTTCCCCAGAAAATACTAATTTATTTATAGCATCATTTCCTTTAGTGATTGCCTCCGCTAATTTAGAACCGGCTGTAACATTCGTGATTATAAATGATCGTGTCGTTCCTCGCTTAAAATTATAATAATAAATATTCGTCTGAATCAAGCAATACTTACGTTCAACAGGAATCATTTTTCCGTACAATATAATACCATTAGGTGTTACTTCGTTAAGGGGCACTGCACCCGGTGTAGTTTCAATTAATTGGTTCACAAATGCATTTAAAGCTTCAACTTGTTCCATATCTTCTGCCTCCATTTCGTTCCACTGTGCTTGGAAATTTCTAGGAATCGGTTTGCTATATGGTACCTTTTTGTTAGCAAATTTTTTCCCTTCGTCTACGGCATGATCCAGATCCAAGCCAGGAATTCCGCCACTTTTATCTTCTGGCTCGCCATCAGCATTGATTCGATCCTCTGGCCCCATACCAGGTATAACAGCTGCTTCGTCGGCTATGAAACAATTAAACCAATAATAAATAAATTGTTTACGAACACTGCTGTATCTATCGATGCAATAATGTATACCAATTTCGTGATCATCAACGCCAGCTTGCCCTGCTGGTAACGTATTAAGATTATATTTATCTCTCATTAAATCACCAGGCCTGTTTCGTGTCCAGAATTTCGATGTATGGTCATTGCTTCCAGAACAGAGAATATGTCCTAATGGATGCCAAGCTAACGTCCAAACTATACTGTCATGAGCTTGCTCTATCGCACCCACTTCCTTGTCGGCTCTAAAAGATGATCGCAGCATATAGAATAAATGAAAAAAATGATTCCAAAGCGTTAAAAACATACCCAACGTGCCAGAATAAAATGGCTCCATCGCTACCACCGCTGCAAAACAGACCTTCGTGACTGGGATGCCACGCAACACTAGAAGCTTCTTTTTTGTGACCACGAAATGTCTGAACTTCTTGACTTAGATTTCGAAGATCAAATAATTTAAGCAAATGATCTCGCGACGCGGTTACCAGCCAGTTTCCGTTCTCATTCCATTTAACATCCATAACCGTTGACTTGTGAGCATGTAAAGTTGCAAGAGATTGCCCAGTCTTTGGATCCCATAATTTAACTGGTTGTTGATTATCTTTGCTTCCAGAAATGACTAGACTTTTTTGTGGATGCCAGTGTACACACTTCACATCAGCTCCATGACCTGAATACGTATTATATGAACAGCTATACTAATTACTTGATTGAATTATAAGAACATGTTGTTTAATGTTGAAGAAGGATTGCAAACAAAACGAGGAAAAGTGTAAATGCAAATACGACTAACATGAAATAATAAAAAATTTGTTGTGTCATGCTGATAGCAAAGTACATACCTCTAAGAATTCGTTCCTCGTGACATCGAAGGAAGTCCCAAATTCTCACAGTTCCATCATCACTGCATGTTGCCAGCTTGTGATCCGTTGGACTGAAACTACCCACCCAAAAACAAAAGTTATATTCAAACAATACCCTGTTATACACATACAAAACAATTCTTTATTTGCAAATGGTCACAATGAAAAATCATTGATAGAATAAGTATTATAATGTTATGGAATATAGTATATATTTCAGTTTCATCATTTTATTTAAACATGTATATAAAAATAAATATTGAGATAATAAAGTAATGTAATAAAAGATTGACTACACATTTGATTTTATTAATTTTTATTCAAATTATCCTTTTACAAGAAGGAAGAAAACAAAATTTGCGAAATATTCATTAAATTCGATAGAAAATCATTTGGAACATTGTGGTACACCTTACGGACATTATTGTGGCATGACTCAAACCATGATATGTTAAAGATTTAAATTAAAATTGAAATATATAATGACTTACATTTATTACTGATTTGTCATTTTGCTCATTAAATAAGTAAATACTACTTCATGCAATATTTATGTATATATCAAACAAGCAAATAATATTACAAGAATTTTATTTCTCTTATAATATCGTCTGTTTGGATTATATATTTGTACATTTAAGCATGCATTTTTGTTAGATTTTAAATTTATGGTATCGTGTAAAATCCTATGAAACAGTCAAGCAATTGTTTTTTAATTACCTAAATAAACGATGAAAAATGAAATGCCTAAGACTATTTTTTTATGATTATTGATGTTCTTTCTGTATAATTCTTCCTGAAAGTTTAATACAAGCGATATATGCGCGAAAAACACGTGGCAATACATGAAAATATAGAAATAAATTTGACTTTTGCATCAGATTCAAAAGTTGATGTACTCATTGAGTAATGTTACTATGACAACATTAACATTAATAACATATGAGTGATGTATGTTACTATAAATGCACTTCGAGGAATAGCAGACATCAGTAATAAAAGGAAGATCTATGTGTAAATATTGTAAATAAACAAAAAACCATCTTCGACAGTCATATCTGGCACTCAAAAATCATTGCTAATCAAGCAATAAACTATTCCTTTATAATGAAAATAGATTTTCTCTTTGATGCCACATGACCATCGAGCGATATAACAAGAGTGATATTTTTTAAAAGTTTAACATTTATTGCACAAAAAAATGTCCGAAGTGTACATGAATTTTATTAATCTCTCTGTTACTCTCTCTCTCTCTCTCATCTGCAAAAGGGCACAAGTGACACAAATAGAAGAAGAAATACTTTATTTTTATTGTCAAAACCAAATAATACTGCAATATCTTTATTCAGCCTTATTAAAACTTGGATGATGTAAAGAAGGACACAGGATATTTATTTCTTATTATAATTCCATGGGAATCTCGACTAGGTATTGCTGCATATATTTCTTGTTTGTTTATTCGTAATTCTAAAAATATACACATTTTCCCGATAATCTGACCACATAAACTCCATAAACCATGAGCCATAAGGACCTAACTTCATATTTTTAATTATTTAGATCACTTCTGCCTTAACATTTTTATCTATATAGCAGTAGAAAATAATAAATTCATGCTACTATAATCTACTGGACCATTTAAATTTATTTAGGTCCCTAAGACTCTAAGAATACAGGCGTGTGTTATTAATGATTCATAAAAGCATAGGAATTTTTTCAGAATTTCAACACAGTCTTGAGATCCTATTACATACTCAATTTTTTAAAACTAACACATTTGTTTAAATAAAAACAATTTGAACTAATTGTATATGTATACTATCACTCAGTGTTTTTAATATTATTGTATCACAACTTTCTTTGTATATAAAACATAAAATTTAATGACAAAGATATATGTAGGTAAAAAAATTTATTTAAAAAATGTAAATTTACACAACACTCTATAGTGACAAGAATAAAAAAACACCCCATAATATAAAAGTTTATTTTTATCACAGACTTTGTAACATAGAAAATTTTGAAGGCCCAAAAAATGACATGTCTCCTACGTGTAGAGATCACCTGTGTACCCATACAAGAATTACTATTGCCAGAACAGAAGTGTTATAAAACCAGAAAAGGAAGAGAATGAGAGTCACGTCCAATATCTTAACTACAGCAAGGATGGACGGATCACCGAGAACAGTGGCGCAAGAGACGTAAGGACTAGTGTGGTGGATGGTATACCTGAGTCCTCTAATCGCTTCTTTGTGCGCCTGAAACATCTTGACGTTGTTCATATTGCTCTGCCAATACTTCACGTAGCCTGCATGATCTCCTGTGACCATCCAGCTCTCGTTGTGTGACCATACCATTGTTCTTACTGGACTATCATGTGCCTACACAAACAAAATAATTTTTTTTTTTTAATACAATATCAATTTTAATTAAGATGTGAACAACTTTTGTTTAAACAAAATCTTTTTATTAATCGCAATTCAATCCTATACCATAAATTTAATAAAACATTAGCTCAATATATCACAAAAGGCTCTTTTTACTTTGTTAATAAATTATATTGTAACCAATAAAATACCTGTAAAATAGTTTCAAAATTAAAGGTAAGACCATTCCACAGAGTAAATTCTCCACTAGATGCACCAGTAACAAGACGTCTACCCTCTGGTGTCCAAGCCATACAGAAGATTGGACAACGCATTTTATTTGTTGCAGTTTTCACAAATCTTGTGGTCACTGCATTTATTGGATTGTCAACGTAACTAGGTGGTGGTAATAAGTCAGGGTAATACATCACATCTGGCTGAAGAGCACGTCTATCCCTATAGTCTCTCTGCCAAACTCGATTCTATGTATAATATTTATTACATTATTAGTATTTATTTATTTTTATTATAGTATAATTTCATTAAATAATCTAGAATTTCTACCTCTAAACTCTTTATGATGGCAGAATTATAATCCACAGTTTTGCGCATAACAGACTTTCTAAGTCTTTTTCCATCAAATTCATCTTGTAAAGTATCTTGACCAGCAGCAATGATTTTAGGAGCATGATATGGTCTAAATGGTTTAAAGAAACCACGGGCTCCATCTCTGTGATTAGTATATCGATGCTGATAGCTTCCAGAGGTATTTATAGTAGTTAAATTAGGAGGTGGAGCTGACAAATTAGGAGCAGCAGGAGGTGGTACTGACATATTAGGTAAACTTATAGCTGGTGGAGGATTTGCAAATTGACCATTTGCAGACATAACTAAATAATCTAAGATATACTATAATAGATTTAAATACATAAAAGAAAATATAAACTACATGGGCAATAAAGGATAAACATGTTTGTTGATTAATATCGTTTAACGCTGCTATGCTGAATCCATTGTAGTTATTAATTCTGTAAATAAACAAAAAATATATTTTTCATTATCATTTTATTAAATAGTTTCATAATCTCAATAGCATCTTACTGGTATTAATCTTACATTTAATATATATTTCAAATGATTTTTATTAAACTCACATATGGCATTTAATACATTTTCTGAATTACTTAATAACTTGAAAATATTTTAATCCTAATTGAATTAATTATTAAATTTATTAAACTAATTAAAGAAATAGATCATACTCATTTTTATAAATTATTGATAATATTTCGGCTACTTTAATACAAGACTTTCAATTGAAGTCAAGACCTACAATATGCAGACACAATTCAATACAAACTGAATTTTCATAATATGTAACAATGCAATATTAACTACTTAATAAAGGTAGTCTATATTTTATTTGAATACTGCTGATTTTAAATTTGTTAAATTTGGTATAAATACTCAATACTTTGAAATGAATACTAACAACTATTACTTTCATTGAAATTGAACACCAATGAAGGTTAGACGATATATTTCCTAGGAAAACCATATAATCCTGTTAACGTGATTTTTATTATATTCTTAAATATTTATAACGCAAGGTAAAACACGATTATAAAAATTAATAAACAACCTGTTCATAAATTGTGAATAAATTTTCTTTGATGCAGTTAACACTGTAAAATCTTTAAAATATATACGATCACTTAGTTTCACTGACTATATAAAATTGCTTTTGGAACGATCAGTTATGTATACAAATTAAAGTAATTTCTCCACTAAAATATCGACAATTATCGCGTTCTACTTCTACCGAATCAATTTAAACGCAACGAACAAACAGCAAGAGAACTGTATGTTCGCTTTGGACGCCATTACTCTTTTGGGCGATGACATCCGTTTTGTTCGTATCCACTTCCGACGATGCTCTTGGTGAATTATTATAACACTATTTCGATTGTATAAATATCAATAATAATAATAAAAATAACCAAAAACAACTTGATAAAGTGCAATTGATGAAAAATGATTCAACTTAATAGTTTTACTGTTTAAATAAATAATATAAAATTATATGAAGAATAATAGGGAATTTTATGATAAACATTTGTTATGAGTATATAAGTATTTTTTATTATTATGTAAATAAACATTATTTCTTATATGTGGGAATCATTATAATTATTGTTTTTAAATATTTCAATATTTCACAATTATTATAAAGAAAAAAAGTAAATATTTACATGATACGTGAAAATATTATGTATTTTCAGTGATAACAAATTTATATATAATTCATGATTTGTCTGAAACGTGTAGAAAGCTGTTTTTATTTCAAGACATGTAGAGAATATGTCAATTCTATGTCATTAGTATGTATTTATTTGAAAGCAACTGAGTGCACAAACCACTTATAAAAAGTATATAAATCATGGATGACAAATGCACAATAACAAAGCTTCCTCATCACGTTCAGCAGAAATTGTGTCATACACGACCACCTTACAGGCAAGGAAAGAGATTAACATCCGTGAAGGTAGCATTGTGGACTTGTATCCTATTATACTTAAATATATTAAATACTAAATATATTTAATACTAGTAAAATTAAATACTGGTATCATTGTGAAGTTTATTAGATTGATGTCTATTATTATATGGTCAGTCAATTGTAATATGTATCAATTGAAAAAATATGTTTAATATTTTAATATCTTTGTTTTCTTGACAATATTTCCTTGACACACTAGCTCTGTGTAACAGGTTTATACAATAAACGATGAATCAATACATTTGATGATATGTGGAGTACCTAAACTTCAATTAGGTGAAGAAATAAAGAAACTTATTGAACCATATGGATGTATTAAACAAATACACATAATACCTGAATATCCTACAGAAGAATTTACAGAAGCTTATTATGTAAAATATGCTCGTATACAGAGTGCAAGGTTTATATTTTATACAGAACTAATACATAGTTTTACTTTGATATAATTTTCAGCTAAACAACTGATTTTATATTTGTGTATTCTGTTGTACATTATATAGAATAGCTAAACGTTTCATTGATGGTAAAAATTTTTATGGAGGTTCACTACATGTTTTTTACGTACCTGAGCTTGAAACTTTAACAGAAACTAAAGCCAAACTGACTCAACGCCGTAGAGATGTACTTATTCGTATAAAGAAAAATCAACAAGATGCAAAAGATCCAAATATTGACAAATTTATTCCTAAGTATGTTATAACAGATTCATCATAATAACAGAATAAATATATATATTTCTAACTGATTAAGAATATGAGTAATATAAAACATTCAACAATAAATTACAGAAAACAATTTCATAGAAAAAAAAGAACACCAGCATTACCACTTACAGAAGAACGTCTAACTCAACATTATCCTGGAGAAACATTATCATCTATTTATAACGGTATACCACAAAATATAGATCCAAGACCAATATCTGAACCCAGTCTACCTTCAACATCATATAATCATCAAGAAGATGCAATTGCAACTGCTCCGTATCATTTGACCGAAACTATTATTAAAACAGCTAAATTTAAAGAAACTGTAATAAAGTCTGATTATACAAGAAATAAAAGAAAAAATTATAAGGGACAATCTGTTAATGATAATGTCAAAGTTAAAATTGTTAGACCTCAGCTTATAGACACAAGTGCTATAGTAAAGTGGGATACTTCAACTAAAAATCTATTTTCCAATCCTAGAAAGATTGAAAATAATATCACTATTAAGTTAATGTCAAACAGTAATGATAAGAAGAAAATTGTAATTAAAAATCCGAGGTATATTATATGTTACACTCTACTTTGAACATTTTATTGTATTAACTTGTTGTTAATTATAATATGTAATTGTTTAGTGTGTCTCATTTGGTACAACCAAGCGAAGATCTTCAACTCTCAATCAAAGAAGCTAAGTCTCAGGTACGCACGGCTATGCAAATGAATAATAAAGAAAATCCATAATTTTAAAATAACATATAAATTGATAAGGAAAATTTTATTGTAAAAGCTCATTTTATATTCAATAAATACAAATAATAATTAGCCTATGCTTATTTTTATAGATAATTGTTTTTTACAATTACTTAAAATCTTTATTAAAAATTGATGTAAAAAAGATAAACTATATTTTAATATCGTTCATTAATTAAAATCTTTAATATTAGCACTTAAATAATAACTGTTGAATCCGGATCCCATTGAACACCATTTAATTTAGTTTTTGTAACATGTTTTTTATGGGGTGGAGTATTTTCCTGTAACATTTTTGAAGCTATACCTTTATTTCTAAATATTTGTTGTGGAGATTTTGTTGACAATGTTTGCCTTTGTTCATTATTTGAACGGTTACCAAGAGGAGTCCGAGCCTAAAAGTAAGAATGTTTATATGATATAATGATTTTTTGGGAATGTAGTTACTAAACTATGAAATACCTTTATAGATTCAGTATCATTTTTATCATTAGAATTGAAAACTTTCTTTTCTTCTGTTTTAATATCTAACTTAAGATATCTCTTCTTTATGGTTGTATCTACTCTTGCTATATCATTTCCAGTTTTAGATATTTTTAACGATAGTACATCTTTAGTAGAGCTACTATCATCAAATGTTATAATTACATTCTCTTTAGGCGTTTGCGACGTTTTTTTTTTAACTAATTGCATATCATGTAATTCTGTTGATTCAAATTCCAGTACTTTATCCAGCACCATTGTATCTCTCCATATTTTAATGGTATCATTATCATTCTCGTTATTACAAACATTTAATTCTTCTATATCTTTTTTAATATATACATCATTACAATTATCTTCCCTTAAAGTTGTTTGAGTTTCATTTTGACTTTCTAGTAATTTCTCTCCTAATGTAAATGTTTATTAATTAAGTGAGATTATATGGTTTCATCAATTTTACAGAATAATTCATTTTGAACGTTTCAAAACAATAATTTACTTACCATCTTCAGAAACTTTTTCAATTTCAGGTGAACAACTGGAATGTGATGTTTCAGACTCATTTGATCTAGCACCATCATCAGTATCATTCAGATCTAAACATTTTGTTGTACATGTAGCCAAATCGGGTAAAGCTTGTATTTCAGGAATACTAAATTCTGATGACATTTCGCAATATGCAAATTTTGGATAAAAAATATCTGTCTCATAGCTTCCTTGTTTGTGTAGATCTTCTCTGGATCTTGCTTTTAATAGTTCTAATGATTTTGGCATTAATATTGGAGTCCTATCAAAATTTGCAGCTGGGGATCTAGGATCAATTCCCAAAACTTCATAACGTTCTTTTTCTATAGGTGAAAGTTTCTTCTTATTATTTACATTGTTAACTTCTGGTGTTAAAAAGGTCTCTGCATTTCTATTTGGCTAAAATAAATTAATTAAAATAATAATATCTTGCAATCACTAATTATGACATGAATAACTTACCATATCTGAAAACTGTAATTTTGTACTTTCTACTACTCTTGATGGAAAATGTTTTTTAGGTGTTAAACAGGTCATTATTTGATCTAGGTTTGTTTCTAAATATTGTTTACTTTGTAAATGTTTTGGGATTGCAGATATAATCCTTTTATTTAATCCAAGGGATGTATAATTTACCTGCCGATATTATATATTTGAATATAAATTGTTTACTGCAATTCAAAAATAAATTTTGTATAATGTTCAAATTACTTCTATTGGTGTTCTTTCTATTCCAGTTGTTACTGATCTTGGATCAATTGGTAATGTTTTCTGTATTAGGGGTGGAGTAAATATTAAGTCTTTTTCAATTGTTGTATTATCTATCATTTCAGAATGTGCATTCCTTATTTCTTCCTTTTCAATATCATTGTTATGGGAAAAAAACTTGTTCATGTAATTTCCCATTACGAAAATTGTTTCATTAATTTTTCATATAGCCTGTGCCACCTTGATTTTTAATAAACGGAGAAGAAAAACTGGATTTTACTTATATCAATGATATTTAAATAATGTAAACACTTAACGGACATCTTCATTTGTCAGTTCTTTTAAAACTTGTTAAATATGTTAGTAGTTAAAAAGAAATTATGCAATTCTCTATTATTATTATAAAGGACTGTATCATTAAACTTACCTTAAAAATATATAAACAACAGAAAATTCTTTTCACCGCGTTGTTGCGTTTACTTTTCAAAATAAAAACCGACTAAAAGATACAGCTATACCAACATAAATAAACACATAAAGTCTTAAATAAGGGGTACCAATATTCGAATTTTGTATTATATCTTTACGTTTTGTTTTTTTGTTGTGATACAATATATTTATACACACTTCTAAACAAAAATTCCAGTTTATATGTATGCGTTACAATTTTTCTGAAATGTAAAAACATGAAGTTAATACATACATTATTTTGATACAAATATTTTCATGTAAAAATATCTTTGTAAGCATCATTAATCATAAACGATTAATAACAATTGAGTTAAAATTTATATAATTTACTGAAGCATTGTTTGAAATATATTATAAATGTTAACTGAAAGCCGTTAATAATAAAAATTAATTTTTTTCTAGGTTACTGTTGCTGAAAATCAAGTGTTTAAAGTTAAACATTATTGACACTGTTCTAATTGTTATTTTTACAATAAATAAAAGTTCTTTGTACCAAAGTGAATTTGTACATTTAAATATATAAATATGTCATTTGCTATAGCAGATTCACAAAGTCTGCTTCAATCACAATCTATTAATTTTGCTTGCCCAGTTTGCAATTCTACATATGTAAATAGAAAAGAATTTTATAGTCATTTACATGTCCATGCTGGAAATGTATTAAAACATATGCAATTAAAAAAAAATGTAAATGATGAATCAAAGTTAGAGCTAAAATGTTTTGATCAGCAAAAGATTAACAATGATTTATATGAAGCAGTATTAAGACCTTTCAAATGTCAACGATGTAACTTAACATTTGATCGAGCTTCTCAATGTGATTATCATCATAGAAGTATACATCTAGGTGAAAAGTCACAACTTTGTGAAATTTGTGGTAAAGGTTTTTTTCGAAAAGCAGATTTAAGAACGCATTTGAATATACATCTAGGTACAAATTTTTGTATCTGTGAAATTTGTGGAAGGAAATTTAATCATGTATCTAATTTAATTAGACACTGCAGAATGCATGCTGGTAATTATGCTGCTTGTATAGGAGTTTTATGAACTAAGGATAAAAGGAAAATATTAAATTTGTATAAAATTTATAGGAGTGAAACCGTATCCGTGTTGTATTTGTGGTAAACGTTTTACTCAAATCAGCTCTGTTGTAAGGCACAAACGTATTCATGAAAGATTGAAACATGATGTTAAGCAACAATTACAAAGCAATTATGATAATATTAATATGGAAAAAGAAGATCAGGATGTTCATATCAATAAGGTAATCAATAAATTTGATATTATGTAACTTCTCTTAAATATACATATATCTCACTGTAAATATACAGTTTGTTGAAGGTCATGTATCTGTTCATCAAAAGGTTATTAAGAGACAACATTATTGTAAAATTTGTGGTAAAAGTTTCAGTTTTATTTTTCTCTTAAGGGAACATGAGAAGATTCATTCACAAGATCCTGTTAATTTGGAATGCACAAATACCAAGATGGTAAGAATTACAATACATTTGAATACAAATTTATACTTTTGACCTTTTTTCTAATTTAAAATTTTCAGATATCAGCAGAAAATAAACATGAATGTGATACAAATAATATTGACCTTCCCAAAGATGAAACAAGTATTAAAAAAGTATTGCCATTGGATACAATTATTTATATTACTTCAGAACAGGTAAATAATTTATTACTGAAATATTTATAATTGAATGATATTGTATGTATTTTATTTTTTGTACAAATAAAAAGTTAAAGAAAATTAATCTGGAAAACATTGAAGATATCAAGGATCACATCTCACAAGAAAATTTAAATGAAGGAAAGGAGAAGATTATAACGACTAATGAATTAAATATTCCTGAGAAGCTAGTAGTATTTAACAATGATCAAACTCAGTTCATTCATGATAATCCTGTTTTGTTATGCAAAACTAGCAATCCTATGGAGAAAGGAAGTGTTGCCTATGTTTGCCAAGTGGATGAAAGTATACTTAAAAACACATCAGACATACAAACGTGTGAAACAGATGTACAAAAATTGGAAACACTACAAAGTTATAATAATCTGACAAATGCTTCTTTAAATGTCACTGATATGTTTCAAAAAATAGATTTGTCAGAATCGACTATCAATGAACAAATCAATTCTAATTCGAGTTTACAAAATCATCAAGAAATAAATGTACAAACTGAAAAAATTTCTGATGATTCAAATGACATAGACATTACAAATCACGATGAATCAATGTTACGTTTAGTACAAACAGAAACAGGGGAACAATTTTATGAATTCCTAATTAACAATTTAGTTGAAAAATTACCGAATACACAACCTGTAAAAGTTTCCGCGAATAGAGATGAAAGTACAAATCTTTCGGAAAATATAACAAATACGTGTATGAACGTTAAGAGTACAAATGAAGAGATACATCAGGAACAGAATATACGCGATGATATACCTAACGATCTAAGTTATACACCATATGAATTACAACGCGATGAGAAATGTTTTGTGACAAACCAGATTCTATTAGACACGCAAACTGATTTTGATAAATACGTTGATACGAACTTTGAAGTTTTTGAAAGATTAAATTATGAAGACAGCTCAGAACGATTTTTTGAATTTGTTGAAACTGCAGGAGTCGAAAATCAAAATTTAAAAATTTCCGAATGCAAAGAAAGCGAACAATTTTTACAATTTCAGAACTTTAATAAAATCGATACAATACAACAGAATGAAAAAGATACTGTTATTAATGACAATGAACAGATTATTAACAAGGATGCGCAGTGTGACATTACAAATCAAATTGATCAAACGAATAAAGATCAAGCACAAACAAATAATTCCACCGAAAACAATGAAAAAATAGATCAACAACAGGAATTGAAAACTTCGAAAATAGTTTCGATAAAATTTCAATGCACAGTATGTGAAAAATCATTTTCAACTAGTTATAATTACAAACAACATATAGGTACACATTTTGCTGATCAACAAAAATTTCATTGTAAAGAATGTAAAATGTCATTTGCATGGAAGTCAACATTAAATAAACATATTGCAAGTAATCACAGACCTGAGGGTCCTCAAAGGTTTGCATGTGATATATGTAAAAAAATGTATAGCACCTCTTCCCAAGTAAACGTAAGCATTGAAATATACAAGTATATAAGTGTAAGGTTTTTTTTGAGTTGTATAAGGATATATTATTTTTACAGGAACATGTAAAACGAGATCATTTGAAAGAGCGAAACCACGTTTGTTCTTTGTGTGGTAAATCATTCTTTAAAAAATATGATTTGAAAATACATAATAGAATACATACGGATGAACGACCGTATGTTTGTCGTGCTTGCGGGAAAAGATTTCATCATCGAAGTCATATTATTCGTCATGAACGCATACATTTTTAGGGAAGAAATTAATGAACATGCATAAATTCTTGTATTATTAAATTATTCATTTATTATATTATTTATTCCGATATCTATTATGATAGATACTGAATATTGTAATGTAACTGTAATTGAAATGTATTATGAGTAATATTTTTTCATTTGTTTTTTAAATAATTATTTTTTAATAAAGACACTATTCATATCTATGATTACTAATTCCCTCAATGACTGAAATTAGAGACATACAAATTTTTAAATACAAAGATTTAGGATTATAGGGATCCAGAAAGTTTAAAATATATATATACATATGGCTTGACGTATGGTATGATGTATATACAACTGGACAGGTGTTAATCCAAACTGTGTATAGTTATCTGGTTTAGTCAAGGAGTCTTACTCTTTGGTTTAGTCATCAATTCTAGTTTCAACATGGTGGACACCGTATGCGACGACGTGATTAATAACGTGCACAGTTTAAATTTAAAAGAAGAAAAGGCATGAATGAGATTTATGTTTAAAACTTTTCTTACTTTTGCTTTTAGTATTACAATATGTTGACAAATTTTCGTATTTTCAACTATAAAAATCTTAACAATATTTTTAGGCGGACACATGTTCGGGTTGGTTATAGGAGACATTATTACTGTGACATCTTGTATTATTTTCACAGATACTTTTCTTTTATTTAACTATTTGGTAGTTTATTTTAAAGTAACTATGTATATTTATTTAGTTGTAAAAATGACTACCCATGTTGTTGAATCAATAATCTGATGTAATCTTATTTTGTCATTTCTGATGAATTGACGAAGATATTCATATTGTTAATATCCTAATTTCGCGTCTTATTTTTAATAAAATTTGTTTAAAATTTTATTTTTAAAAATCAATAAATGTTATCACTGAAATGTAATACTTCATTTTTTAAATTTTAGTCGAAGATGAAGCAATTGAAAAAGAAGACTGTCGCTACTGATAAAGAAGCAATTTCAGAGTTAAATCCGTGGCCGAGTTATATTCAGGTGCCGTATATTATTTTTTTAATCGTACGAATAGTTATCGAATTAATTTCAATAACTTTAATTTATAAATAAATATCACATATTACATCCGCATATTATGTTAGTGTATTTTTGATTTCAAAATAATGTCCTATGTTTCAGGATCGTATTGAATTATGGAATAAATTGAAAGCAGAATATGAAGAATCGTTAGCTACAAAGTCAGTTAATGATATAACAATAACTCTTCCTGATGGGAAAGAGGTTATAGGCCAGTCTTGGCGTACAACTCCATATGAAATCGCCAAAAATATTAGTCAAGGTTTAGCAGATAACACAGTTATCGCAAAAGTTAACAATGAATTATGGGATCTTGACAGACCTCTTGAATATGATTGCAAACTTGAACTTCTTAAATTTGATGATCCAGATGCCCAACAAGTTTTTTGGCATTCTAGTGCTCATGTTTTAGGAGAAGCAATGGAAAGAATATATGGTGGTTGTTTATGTTATGGTCCTCCAATAGAAAATGGGTTTTACTATGACATGTATCTTGGTGATAAAGGAATTTCAAACCTTGATTTTCCGTTTTTGGAAAGTCTGTACAAGAATATAGTCAAAGAGAAACAACCATTTGAAAGATTAGAAATGACAAAGGAAGATCTTTTGGATATGTTCAAGTATAATGAATTTAAACTTCGAATTATTAATGAGAAGATTCATACACCTACTACTACAGTTTATAGATGTGGTCCATTAATAGATTTATGTAGAGGACCACACATTAGACATACTGGAAAAGTTAAAGCAATTAAAATCACCAAAAACTCTTCCACCTATTGGGAAGGAAATGCTAATGCAGAATCTTTACAGAGAGTATATGGGATCAGTTTTCCAGATACTAAACAATTAAAAGAATGGGAGAAGTTTCAAGAAGAAGCTGCCAAACGAGATCATCGGAAAATTGGAAAAGAACAAGAACTATTTTTCTTCCATGAACTTTCCCCAGGATCCTGCTTCTTTCAACCACGTGGAGCTTATATTTACAATACTCTAGTTGAATTTATTCGTTCTGAATACAGAAAGAGAGGTTTCCAAGAAGTAGTTACACCTAATATCTACAACAGTAAATTATGGCAAACATCTGGTCATTGGATGCATTATGCAGAAAACATGTTTTCGTTTGATGTTGAAAAGGAAACGTTTGCGCTTAAACCAATGAATTGTCCTGGTCATTGCATGATCTTTGATGTTCGTAATCGCTCTTGGCGCGAATTGCCATTAAGAATGGCAGATTTTGGCGTATTGCATCGGAACGAGTTATCTGGTGCGTTAACGGGGCTTACCAGGGTAAGGCGTTTCCAACAAGATGATGCGCATATATTCTGTGCAGCTGATCAAATTAAGGATGAAGTGACCGGCGCACTTGAATTTTTACGGCATGTATACTCTGTATTTGGCTTTACATTTAATTTGTGTTTGTCTACAAGACCTGAAAAGTATTTAGGAGATTTAGCCATGTGGGATCAGGCTGAAAAAGCGCTACAAGAAAGTTTAGATGTATTTGGAGACCCATGGAAATTTAATCCAGGAGATGGAGCATTTTATGGCCCAAAAATTGATATAACAATTATGGACGCGCTTAAAAGATCTCATCAATGTGCCACCATTCAATTGGATTTCCAATTGCCAATTAGATTTAATTTATCTTATGTAAAGTAAGTAGGGCAATCTTATAGGTTGAGAATATTAAATAAAAACTTTGAAATTGTTTTGAAATTTTAGTGAAGCTGGAGAGAAAACAAGGCCAGTAATCATACACAGAGCCATTCTGGGTTCTGTTGAAAGAATGATTGCAATTTTAACTGAATCTTATGCTGGGAAATGGCCTTTTTGGTTATCTCCACGCCAAGTTATGGTCATTCCAGTAAGTTCTCAATTTGATGATTATGCATCTGAGGTGAAAGAAAAACTTTGGAATGCCGGATTCATGGCGGAAATTGATACGGATCCAAGTGACACTTTAAATAAAAAAATTCGAAATGCTCAACTTGCACAATTTAACTTTATTCTTGGTAAGGAAGAGTTTTGATAATATTGTACAATTACCAAATGTCGAAGTATTTAATTTTAACATAAACTTAACGTTTTTAGTTGTTGGAGAAAAGGAACTGAAAGCTGGTACAGTGAATGTACGAACCAGAGATAATGTGGTACATGGGGAAGTTGCAGTAGAAGATATAATCGAGCAATTCAAAGGATATAAAGAAAGAAAAGATAAAAATTGTTAAAAGAGAAACTTTAATGAGCTTTATGTGCAGCAAAAATATTTATTTGTAGGTTGTAATTCCGATATTGTCTATTGTAATTCGAATCGATTGATTTACATGACATTTTTATAAATGCACCAAAATACATATGCTTATATGTTAAGGAAATACCGTGATTTCTGTATAATTTATATAAATGCATAAAATAGGCATTTTATATTCAATCAGTTCTGTTACAGTAATATTTGTTTGTAGCATTTAAATCTTAATGCAATTTCAAAATAAAAATAGAAATATAGAAATCTGTATTTTCAATTTCGATATCTTAGATCAGCTGGATGATGCGTTTATATTTATAAGATATGTAATAAATTATTCCACCACAAAAATTTGGTTTTCTTTAAATGATATTTTAACACGGATATTTTTTACTAACTCCACAAAAATTTTCAAAATTGCAATAATTATCATAAAATGTATCTTATGTGTGTGTAGATATTAATATCGATACAAGTGGTTAGAATCATAGAGATATAAGACGATTTTAAGTATATTAGAAAACTTCATTTTAACTACTTCAACATTACAAATTACTTATTGCACCTATAACTGCAATTAATTTATGAGTAAATACAAACGATGTATTTCATGAATAAGAGATTTAAAAGAACGCACAAAGTATATAGAAAGATTAGTTTCGTGTATATAGTTTATTCAGAGGAATACGCATGCGTCAAAGATGGAGCTCCGTTTCCGGGAAGAACAGCAAGCGGTAAGCTAGAGCTGAAGGCTTGTTGTTTAATTGTTACAAAATGACAGCCGTTACTATTTCACCGGTTGCCCATGGAATTATACAAGCTGTAAATGAAAGCAACTTATGTAAAATCGAAAGGTACATGCTATATCAATGATATTGTGAACGTTTCTTCTGCGTGTAATACGAAATTCTACATGGCTGCTATCGATTTTTATTGCAGCTTCCTGAACGACACAGCGTATAGGGAAGCCATCGAAAATTCTTCAAATTATAATAGTCGATTATGCAGGGAACGACGGTTACGTATGCCTTTTCTCGATTCGCAAACAGGTATTTTTTTATTTCAATTACGAAGGAATATTTGTACGATATTGTATAACGAAACAATAGTTTGATTGCGTTATTTCCTTAATTAGAGTAAATGCACAAGTTGTTTGTTAGTAGAAAATTTATTTTCAGTCCGAAGTAATAAAATTGTTGTCTGTTGATGATGTCAACTACTGGTACAGTTACTCTAATTTTAATTATGGGATGTAATTTTGGGGAAAATTTCTTTACTAAAACATTACAGGTGTAGCCCAAAACCATTCCGCATTGTTTATGTCTGCAAGAGAAAGACTGCCAGGTTTATTGCATGGTCAAATATACACATATCCTAGCAAAAGATGGCGGAAAAAGCGACGGCAATATTTGATGCATTACTTGCATCCAAAAAGAGGACCAAGAGATACAGAAGATGGGGTAGAAGGAGTAGAGACTATAACACATGTAAATGATGATAGCAAAGAATCTGTGGCCTTGAAAGGTGCTTATATGTTCCATGATCAATGAAACTAAATAAAATGAGATCACACGCGTATCTCATGTTCTGTTTTATAATAAAATTACAGAAGAACATAGTAAAGATGCTTGGTATTATGACGAGCAAGATATGTTGGATATGGATACGTACGAGGAACCTGATGCTGAAAGCGATTATGATTACGAAGAATATTACAGCAGTAAAAGAAAACGAAGGAAACCTCGGGGGGGTGGTCATCATCCTGCACGAAGTCATCCATCGTCTACAGATAGCCCAGGGGGCAAACGTACTAAGGTAAGTGCAGTGTATTTAAAATTGATTAATTACACAAGAATTTTTATTTAGGTAGAATATTTTTTGTATAAATAAGAAAAAATATATAAAGAAGAATTTGATTTTTATTAAATAGGGTGGGGGACGTGGGCGCAAAAAAACCAACTATGATGCTGTTGACACTGATAAGCCATTCGTTTGTGACCGTAAGTTTAACCATAGATACAACTACAAATGACCACTTCCTGTTACTAGTTTCATTATAAATATTATTATTATTATTATTATTAGCTCTATCAGTTGTTATTTCAAATAAGAGAAAAAGTGCATTACGTTAGAAGATTTGTTAATTTTATTAGATAACTATATTTTTATGATGCCTACATATTGTTTCATAAAATACGCGGAGGTTACTATATATGATATAAAATGATACTGGAAGCTCAGAATAAATTATTAAAGACTTTAGTCTTAATTATCGCATAATTCTACACTTGGGGATGGTGATTGAACTTTGTAACGTGGGAAGGTGCCCTTTAGTAAATTAATTTCATATCGACTGAATACTCTTTATTTAGAAAAAATTGATCAGTATTGTATTGACTGCTGTTTTCCTTCAAGTTTATGAATTGCAGTATGTTATAGCATATTCCATTCCTTGCTGTGTAATTTTTGTTTATGTCAATACCTTGTATTCCATTTCTCTTTTCCTATTTATCGAAGTATGAAGAGACATGGTATGATTCTGGATGAAAGGCAAAGATTGATTATACTTATTTGAAAAATTCAGAAACTTATACATAAAGGATATACAATGTATTAGCCAAGCGTATGAAATTATGTGCATCAATTTTTCACATAAAAATGATTATGCTCTCAAATTGTGTATCATAATTTATTTTCAACTAGTGTTTGATAAATCACCAAAATATAATGCGATTACGTGTTTGTTAAAAAATAAAAAAAGAGAGGAGAGAGAGAGAGAGAGAGAGAGAGAAAGAGAAAGAAAGAAGAAAAAAATATTTACCGTGTCTGTTATTCAGTAGTTGGCAATTATTTGTTTTTTCTTTGTTTACTTGAAATCACGTTTACGGAGGTAGCGTTAACGAAGTATAGTGAAATAAAAATGTCGCGCTTATCGAAACCTTGAAGGAGTATAATAGTCACTACTAATTTTGATCGAACATTTTCCAGACACGAAGTCTATGAATTAACTCGAATGTGCCTGCAATCTGTTTACTTCTTAAAACCACTCCTGTTAGATTAGCAGAAAAATCTCAAGACATTTGGTCTAGACTAGTAAGCTTCGACTATACGAGAGTAGAGATTTCAGCGTATGCTAATTGTTTCTCGATGGAGCTTACGAAATTGGCCAAATATCTTCGGACATGTACTACCTGCCAATAACAGAGCAAGAATGTACTGGCTCACACTGTAGCGAGCTCATTCTGTAGGAGTATACAAGCATCAAGCCTTGCATCGTATTAGTTTTGCTTCTTGGGCTGGAACTCCTTCACTGCTTGTCCACATATAGATTCTTAGGTGGATAGGGATATGTATTGGTGCGGAAGGTGTGCAAATGCTGTTCCTGACCCGTAAGCTTCTGATCCCGAAATTCTTTAATCGCCTCGTTTTTCAGAACCACCTGCCTGTAATTTCGAATTAAACGTAATGTTCGATTGTAAAAGAACAACTGGATGATTCGTAGTGAAATGCACACATAGATATACAGAGAATAAGTGCGAGAGGAAGAGAGAAAGAGAGAGAGTATGCATTGAACGTGGCGGTTAAACGAGTATAATCCGTTCCTAATTATCCAACCAAATCGTCGACCAAAATTTCTCTTATTATGAACGTTGCATTGGATGGTTTGTGGGAAAACAGTATTTGCACTTTTGCAGTATGCAGCGCACGGTATAAAACCAGACCTGGTCTGGTCTACCATTACGGTCATTCCCACTCTACTTCCTCCGGTGATCCTGCTAAGGAACTAAGTCCCAGTCCTGCCGAAGTTGAACCTAGGAGCGTTGCAGACACCGCTGCTTCGAACCAGCCAGGTTGGAGCCAAAATCAGCTCAATTTTCTCACGATCCTTTTAAAAGCGTCCCGTTTCCTCTTGTCTTTTTTCATCCAGACGCCTATGATCATTGATCTGATCCCAGGTTCTTGCAACTACCGTTCTTCATGC